GGCCAGCCCTTGGTAATGTAGGTTTATTCTTCTTATATATCTTGGTAATTGGTTTCTGAAGATTCATGTAAGTTTTTTTTATGAAACGAAACAAATATTGATGCTGTTTTGCATAAACAAGTGACGCTATAACCATTGAGGTCTGGCCCTTAGACTTTTGTTGCGTGATCATTTGTTTTTTTTTATTAATAGGCAAGTAAGTATCTTCTGTGACCTGACACACACCGTTCATTTTGGGTCTAAGGTACGCCGGTTTTCTCGACTCTCGAAATTTTGAATACATTCAAGACTTTCGGTTTTTGCCAACAACACAACGGCACCATAAAGGATATCAATAAGTTAAGATAGTATTGTAAATTTAAAGCTAGTACAAACTAGACAAAATCCAAGGGCTTGAGACAAAATCACATTTCATGACATTACAGGTAAATTAGCTTGGAGAAATTTTTGCGTTTGTAGTAGTGTATGGTCAGCAAATAAAAAAAAAAACAACATTTTATTTTTAGTTTTTATTTTTTTAAAGGTAATATACGTTTGTGGCTGGAGCACACCAAATGCGTACACGTCTACGCATACGCACTACGTACTAATACGGACGTGAAAATGTGTATCCACTGCATTGTAATCTATGGAACTGTATGAGGCAGATAAGCCAGTTCCAAATATTACAAGCAGTGAATGCCGGTTTTCACTTCAGTGAAGACGTGTATGAATTAGGTGTTCTCCGGCCATAAATGTTTTATTCTAATAATTCATCAACCCCAGGCATATCACAATCATCCCCATCCTCGCTTTCATCAGATGAATTATTTAAATTAATTATGATTCGTTCTGATATTGTGTCTAAAGCTGCGTCTCTACCCTGATATTTGTTTTCCTCCTCAATAGCATGCAGACAAACTTTTCTCCATTCCTCTACAGTTATGGCGTTCATTTTTTCTTCAGCTAATGACATTATAACCTTCATATTCATTGCGACATTCTTTTTTGCGACATATGTTTTCACTATCCCCCATATATTTTCTATAGGATTAAACTCCGGATGGTATGGTGGTAAACGCAGCACAGTATGACCGTGCTGTCGTAATATTTCGTCTATCTTGTACTCTACAAATCTCGCCTTGTTTTGCAGAATCAGTTCATATAATTGAGGCTTAAGCAACGTGGATGAATGCTCAATGTTTCGCAATGTCAGCCAGTCAATCATTTGCTGTTTTCTAGAATTACTATTCGGTGCAGGATTTTGTATTGAGTTATGATATGGTGCGTTGTCAACAACAACAACACTATTTGGTTGTAAGTTGGGTATTAATTGAGTTTGAATCCACCTTGAATAGTTGTCATAGTTCATATTGTCGTGGTAATCTCCACTTTTTTGGTTGGCTTTAAACATAAGCAATGCATTTGGTATAAAGCCATCCATGCCACCGGCATGAACAATGATTAAGCGGTTGCCTTTCGATATATGTTGCTTCAAACCTGAAGTGCTTCCATCTGACCAAGATTTCGAGAGGGTATGTGATGTATGTATATATGTTTCGTCGGTGTAAACAATTGGTCGGCGTTGTTCACGATATTCAGCAATTTTCATCAAATAATTAATTCGCAAGTATCTAATTTCGTGTTTTTCCATAAGAAGTTTCCGGTTATCTTCTGTTTGCTTCCAATTAAAACCTAATGACATGACGTGTTTTCGTAACGTGCTGACACAACCTTTATAATCGATATCTTCTTTTAATTTTGCGTGCAAAGTTTTCAAAGTGGGAATTTCTTTATTTGTGATGTGGAAGTCATGAATTGTTCTTCTGATAACTTGCTGATCAAAGTTATCGATTACTATTGTAGGTTTACGATTCGGTTTCTTTTTAGGAGATTTAAATGTTACTTCCTGATCTGAAGGTCGACATTTGCTTTCTGATACTACCTTTCTGACGGATGCTATTGAAATTCCCGTTGATTTAGCAACTAATTGAGTGGGAGTCATAATACTGCTCGGGTTGTTATTACACTCATTTTCGAAATATTTGTACAAACAGTACAAAACTTCTTTAGTTTGAGAAGTCAAAGGCTTGCCTCGACCATGTTTTAACACTGGAGCCATTTTTAATTAACAATATAAAGTTGCAACACTTACACACAAATTAAACACTTCAACAAATATTATAACAATAATAACAAACAATAACAACAATCAACAAATACAAAATTTAACAATTAACGTAATAATTATAATTTTTGAATGAAATGTGTGCTTTATGTTCTAACAGTACCAAGCGACTGACGCCGGACTGCACGTGGCACCTGCGGACAGCGTAAACTGGTTTATTCTGGTTTTGTGCGTGTTTCCACTTTCCACTATCAAGTGACGATTTTTTGCTTTAGATTGAAATATCTCGGAAACGGTGCGTCCTAGGCCAAAAATAAATTTTGACCCCCCGTAGACCCCCCGGAGTTTTAAAAACCTAGATGAAAGGAAAAAAAAATATATATCGGTCTCTCCTCTTTGAAGTTTCACTTCTATCGTGTGTGAATCGCGCACACACCTTTTTTTATAAAGTCAAAACCTTTTTTTTAAATAAAAACTTGTTTTTATTGATAACAAAAATCAGAGTGTTGCTAGGGATAAGTATAATATTAAATAGTAATGTTAGGATATCGAAACATTTTTGTATAGGCCAGAACGATATAGTGGAAACGCGCTCTAAGATCTGAGTAATATACACACCACTACATATGCAAAAATTTCTCGAGACTAATTTCACTGTAACTCGCGCTCTGTCACGTGACCATTTTCATACAAATTCATTTGGCGTTAGTGACTCACGCCTGTCGAAAAGTGATTTTGTCTCAAGACCCAGGACGGTATTGAAAATCGATGAATTTGATGATCAAAAGCAACAATATTCACAGAGTGTATGTCTTTCCTCCGGCCAGGCTTAAGTCGTTAACTTACCAGCTTAATATCTTACGTATGTTTATTCTCTAGCACATTCCACAGTCTCGAGGGACAATAATATTAAGCAAAATGCTACTGGATGGACATGTGACTTAGCCTGCCTCTTCTTAAGAATTGATTTTTATATCAAATTGTCTTAAAAGTTGTCAGAATTTTATGTGGTCTGTGGTCTCTCTACTTTTATAAAAGGGCGCCAACAATAAAAATAACACGTATAAACACTAATCATTTCAATTTTTTACATAAGTTGATTGTTTGTTTTTACGTAACGTGGGGAGTGCTTTTTATGTCACCGACAGTAAGTATACAATGTTATATAATATTCGCATTCAGATCAATTTAAGAGGTTTTATTTATAGGCAAAAGTCGTTACACTTTTATAACGCTAGATTAGCTCACAGACCATATTGACTTTGATGATATTGCTGTGGTTATTGGATGGTGTGCGATTCGTGTGTAAATTACGCGGAAAATCAGACGTTTCAAACTTTTTCACTCTCTTCTGGTTTGAGTGCAAAGTTTTTTGATTTGGTACAAAGTAACTTATTATACGAAAAAATCAAAGTTCAGTGGAACTTGCCTAAGCATATTCCTTTTAGGTACCTACTTGTGACCTTGTGTAATCAAAATTAAAAATATTCATATTGTATAAAATATCTATTAAAAACTGGTAAAGGTATTTTCTTAAATTTCAGAAAAAAATCGTTTCCTAAATGATTCGGCCGACTCCTTTCCGATATGATAAAACCACGAACAGGATCACATCACTACAAAATCAGGATTTTAATTTGTGAGTATTTAAATTTGGGATCATAACTGAAAATAGGGCTAATCTGATTATACATCTGAAGATTTTCAATAGCATAGAGCATGGTACGTTTCAAAAGAACTTAGTAGTTGTTTACCACAAAGGGATGACTCCTTAACTAAAAAAATAATCCACTTGTAAGTCTAAGTATAAGTAGTTTAATGAAGTTATGCTACGGGTTTAAAACGACACGATATTATGTAACCATTCGAACAGGTGAATAAATGTATCTAGTAATTCTAGTCTACTCAATCGTTTGTTTAAAAACAATTTAAACCGTTTTTATCCTCGAATTACAATTGCAAAATGGCCGATTAAATGCGATTCAATCTGCCATTTTGTTTTTGTTGCCGCCATTTTAGCGCGCATCGTTACTTATGTATTTCAATGAATATTTATTTATAGGATTCTGAATTTATTTCATATACTACATATTACATTATTGATTCGATTACTTATCCAGAATAAATGGCAGTATATCTCTGATAATTTAATTCATTATTTAACTTTTCACATTTTTTTTAAAGGCAGACTATGCTACGTAATCGGTGGTAGTTTAGCTAACACCGGCTGTATCTCATTTCGATTCTATTTAAAAGTAAATTGCAGACTGAATAAAACATGAAGCGTAATGAAACGTAAGATTTATTTAATTTAAATGTGATATTCGAATGAATTAAAAGCAGAATCGAAATTACCTCATTAATTACATTAATTCAAAATGGCGGTCTCGTTAATTCAATACAGATACTCGTACAGATTAGAAGTCATTATTTATTCTTTGTGATTATCTTTAAACAAAATTATTTATTTGTGTTTAAGCCTTAGAGGTGTCACTCATTTTAAATTTATGTTAAAAGAGAGCTCTATACTAAAGGAGGCAGGCTTCAGAACGAGGCGGGCGGCATCTGTGAGATATACTATTAGCAAAGACAATACAAAAAATCAAATAGTGATGAAAGCAACAAAATTTAATGCGCCGAATGCTGCATTTATGTTTTTTCTACACAATTCTGCTTTCCTATAAAATATTTTCTTATTTTAAAATTGTAATTATTTTCCAGTGATATTGTTGAGTCACGATGTCTACGCGCTACGCTCTTGGGATCAAAATTATGAACAGGTATGGCTATTAATATTAAGTGCGTTGTGGTCCTTTTTAATTACCACCCTTTTCTGAAACACTTAATCAAATAATATATAACTAGTAACTACTCATAGTCTCGATGTTTAAAGATGAAAATCGCGATGCAGGTATAAAACCGCTACTTAATAAGAAATAAAGAGCTGGCCTGAACGTATGTCTATCAAAAAGGTTTATATAAGTGAATATACATGCTTGTCTTTACATAGGGGAAGTAACTATTTTGTATCTCTTAGTGGTTGTGTCAATTAGCAAAGAGTAATTCAGAACGTACATTTAAATTTCTTTTGACAGAACAATGGAGACATCGAAGCAATTCAAAATAATAATGAAGATTTAAGGGCTATAAGTGTTGATAAACAAATTACAGAAAAAGAAGTTTACATAGCAGGCTCAGATAATAAACTATACAATTTAATAAGCGAAATGTCACACCATATATGTGTCCACGAAATCAAAGTCCATTTCTATTTCTACATAAACGAGAAATTCAGTTATATAAGAAGTATAAATTCATCCTTAAGTGTTTTAAAACATTTGTTATCTAAATATCCCCATTATTTTTATAAGAAATTAGAAAACGAAAGTAGCTATAATTATTTAAATAATTTAATTATTATACCAGAAGATGATGCATCTATATATGATAATTTTTCTGATGCAAGGTTAAACCAATATCACAATGAAAAGGATATATTGGGCATCGACAGAGATATCAAAAATCATAAAGATTACTATGACTATAATATACCAAATGATAAACATTACATAGGCAAAGATATAAATGTCTATGTTGATAATATAATAAGCTCTGGTTTTAATACAAGTAATAGTACTTATAATTCGCCAGCGAGAGGCGTTGATAGTTATTACGAGTTTGGAGAACCCGACGGACAAAATTTTAAAGGGAAAGATATAAATGTCAATGTTTTTCAACCTAACAGTGGTAACATTCAGACGCTCATCAGCAATGAATTGCAAGATAATATGTACGATAAAAATGAGGAAGAAAATGAGTTAAATATCTCAAGTGATAAAAACTATAATAGAAAAAAAGTTTTAGAGGAACAACAAAGTCGCAATGACTTAATAAGTGACGGTAATGATAACAATAATGTCATGAAAAAAAATCTTGAAGTTCCATATGATGGTGTATATAATCAAGATGAGCAAGTCTATGAGTTTAATTATCCAAACAATAATTATAAAGTCAAAAATGTAAACGTTAATGTTTTAGTATCAGGCAACGAGGAAGAGCAAGGTCGTAATAACGCTAATGATAACAATAATGTCAGTAAAGAAAATCTCAAAGTTCCACATGATGGTGTATATAATCAAGATAAACTAAACTATGAGTTTAATGTTCCAAACAATATTTATAAAGGCAAAAATAAAAACGTTAATGTGTTAGTATTAGGTAACGTGGAACAGAAAAGTCGCGACGAAAAAACTTGTGGCGCCAATGATAACAATAATGGCAGTAAAAAGAAACTCGAAGTTCCAATTGATCTTTTATATAATCAAGATGAGCAAGGCTATGAGTTTAACTATCCAAAAAATATGTACAAAGGCGTAGATATAAAGGTTGATTTAAACGCAGCTACTGACCATAAAGATAAGAGCAGTACTCGAGCGTTAACTAATGCATCTTACCTAAGCGGCTCTGGGAAACAGTTTCATCATGATGAAGAAGATGTTGCAAATGCTATGGAACCTTTAGAATCTGGGGGTTCAAGTTGGGCAGACACTGACAATAACGGCGCAGAAGAAATTATAAACATTAGTAAAGATATTATTCCGCAATATAATACAGGCAGTAACACTGAAACAAAAAACGACGCAGAAAATCTTGAAGATCAATATCAATACTCTGATAAGGTTATTATGGATAACGCCAATTCACCAAGCGCTTCGACCAAAGGAGATCAAGAAGCTGACCTAGTTGATAGTTTAAATACAAAAGGGATATTGGAATATCCATCTGAAAAGCATAGATCAATGAATAATATCAATCTTGTTGAAGATGTGTTACCGCAAGTGATACCACAAATACAAGAAACGGTCCATAAACCTTGCGGTCAGCAAGAAGACATTTCACAGCCGAAAAAATACGTCATTGATCAATCCATAAATAGCATACATACAAGTGTAGATAGGGTAAAGGAACCGGTAGAAAAAGCTACTGGTATATCAATGGAAGACACTATTCCCTGTTTTACTGCCTCTGAAATCCTTGATATGGGACCAAAAACTTACTTAGAAAAGTCTCTTCAACCGAAAAGCAATGATATTCCATGTTCTCATAAATTTAAAAGCATACTACCCAAACATATTCACAGAAAATTTCGGCCGAAGGGAGAATTCCACTTAGATGATCCAGTTGATGGCGTTTGTGAAATAGATACTTCATATCCCAGTGCGAGTCCATCTGCGAACGCAAATGTTATTACTTTACCTTATGATTTCGCGAATGAAGAAATTAATTCTGGAGTACCGTCTAATGTATTCCCTAGTATAAAATCTTACAAACCATTTTACAGCTCGAAAACACCTTATAATAATATTTTTTTACCACGACCCAGATACTATAAGCCATATACATCTACACAGGAATATACTAATCCACCAAAAGAAGCATTTGGCCCACAACACACCTACAAACCCTTAATGACTGGCTTTAATACATACCAACCCCATGTTCACTTTCAGCCTACTTGGCCTTCTTTCGGAAAAACTAATGATAGTCCATTTACTATATGCAAGAAACATTCAAACACATTCAAAGATATAAAACCATCATCTATGTCCCACGACATGAGAACATATCCAAATTATATGAATAAGAACTTGAAACACAATCAAAACAATCCATCACAAATATTTAAATTAAAAACAGTACCCCAAAGAAAGCTCTATAATTATGACATTGAACAGACACAGAACTCCTATAAATATGTAAGTAAAAGTCCTATTTCAAAATTAATGAAAGACAAAGAATATGAGTTAGGTTCTATAAAATATTCTCAACCCACATTTTCGTATCCAGTTCAATTAACACGCACTAACTATATTCCCAAAATATATTCTAAGTCTAACCCTATGTCATTAAACAAACCTCAAGCAACCATTTTAGCTAAAAATAATATTAAAACAAAAACAAATCCATGTCCGTGTAGTAATTATACACCAATACTTGATCAAATTTCTCAAAACCCGACCTCGACATACGCCGATTTAGTTACAAAAGGATTCCATTCCATACAACCATGTCGTAATAAAAATATTTATATAGAACAAGACCCTATTCATGTTGCATCGCAACCTATTTACAATATACCCGCTACATCTGGAAGTGTACATAAAAATGTAATTAATGGTATCTATGAAACTCGACTCAATGATGGTAGCATATACACTAAAAGAATAAGTAAAAGTAATAATAATAGACAATATACACAATCCCCTTCACAAATAGTTTGTAATGCAGAGTTTACTCAAACTTTAGGTAAAAAAAATCCACATAGAGATGCGTATCCTCAAACACACTATCATATTGGACATTCAGGGTCATCTCAGGACATATTACGTAATCCACAACCAATGGCGTACAAAAAGTCCCATTGGCCTAAATTTGATTATACAAATCCTCAAATTCAGTATGGAGAACACGCGACCGTTGCACCTTCTATAAATCTATGCCAGTCTCTATACACCAACACTCCTGGAACATTTCACAAGATCCCCAAACCTAGATATACTAGTCCAAGCAAATATGATAACGTTTTTCATTGGTCTCAACAGAAACCTAATCAAAATGTGATACCGTACAAAAACGCATATTCCCAAAAGCAATATAAATTCAATAAATATCCCAATTATGTTCAAACACAAACCTCTCCATGGCTTGAAAATCAACCATTAAAATTTCATTCTACTGAAACTCCTGGTTGCTCCACAGCATATGGTTACACATACAATGGTCAGCCTCCAATAACTCAACACGACAGTATATATACAGTCACAAATCATCAACATAAACCTTATAAATCAACACAAAACATTTGCCAACCACAGCATAAATCTTCAAGTAGTAATCACTCACCATTATACCAATATCCAAGCTATTATTTAAAAAATAATTATAACCCAGTTTTGGAATTTCCAACTGATGCGACTCCAAACATCGAACCTACGAGTTCCTACAAAACAAAATCATATCACAATTCTATAGAAAGTAGAGTTCCATATAAGAATTATGTAATACCGTGCGTATCCTCAGAGAAGGATACATCTAGTAAGATGCAACATTTATTAGGATCAGTACCCCGCAATCCATTTACAAATGTAAATCCTTTAGTATGGTATGGGAAAGCAATCCCTATATACAATAAACAATTTATTTCAGGCACGGAATATCCTGAAAGTAATACGTATAACCTTTACAAAAAAGGAAATTCTAAGAATTCTGCAGGAAATTTTAATTATCAAAATTATATACCAAAATTAAACGCTGATAATACGTTTTACAATCAAAGTCCATCACTGGGTCATGGATTTTCATGGCCAATACAAGGAAATAAATATATTACTAACAGAATACCCACCACACTTGTTCACACATCACAGATTCGTCCAATACTAAAGCCGTCTTATTCTACAACTAGTAAACCTATTTCATTTACAACGCCACAAAACCCACAATCATTTGATGTAAATCAAGACTCATACGATCAAGGTACTATACAGATAAAGACTCCATCCTCTCATAATCTTAATCTGGATAAACCTTGCCAAAGAATCCCATCCACATTAAATTATGAATATACACGACCTAATAATTTTGTAAATGAACCATGTAATTATAACTCGCAAATACCATTCGAAACCTCACAATACTCACCTTTTGAAACACCGCAATCTTCATCTAAATTTACCCAATATCCTGCATTAATTTATCCTCAGCAATCAGGAAGTCCATACATGTCTGATACGTTCGTAAAATATAACCAGAAGAGTCCATGTTTCACAAAAATCAATACACTCAATAATCAACCAGATGATGATGGACTGTTAACACAATCGCCATCCTTTAAACCATGTATTTTTTCTGATGATAAACTTAATAATGTAAACTTTAATGTTCCTAAACTACAAACTTTTAAATACATACCTAAAAACCTAGATGCTTATCGTAACAACTACAAAACACGTAATAGTAATATTATGACAGGCTTACCATCTATGGAACCATATCGTTTTGGTTACGGAGATCCATCACATAAAACTTCAACACATGATGTAACTTTAGCACCTAACATCAATACATTACGACCGACGATAAGTCAGCGCTCGTATAAATCTTATAACCAAAACGCTTATAACACAAAAGCTTCTTTAAATTACTTTCCTTTAAGATTTAAAACAGAAACAAAAATGTTAAATAGACCAAGTATTCCTTGTTTAAACTACCAATCACCAAATAAATATATATCCACGTGCCCTAGTATAGCAGACTTCGGTAGTGAAAGTTATCCGGCTTCACCTAACATAGATTATAACCCATGCGTTGAAACGAATAGTAATCCTACAATAACGAGTACATTGCCACCTGCGTTATCAGTCAGTAGTCATCAGGCTTTTAATCGTGGTAAAAACCAGCCAAACTGGGAAGAATTTAGTAAATTCATAAACATAAATAAGGATACAAGTAAAGCTATCAATTCAATTCATTCATTCATACCCACCAACGCACCAAACCGACTAAATCCCCAAAGACATTCTACTAAAAGTCAGAACCCATATAAGAAGACGAACTTTAAGAAATCTAATACAGCTAATGCAAAATCTATTATATATAACCCAGGTAATGTAGATTATAACAGCTCCCCATTTATTTCACAACTTTATCCAGAAACAAATTTACACGCAACAGTAAAACCTTACGCACAGTCTACCAATCAAAAATCAATTAATAGAATTGTATTCGATACAAGTTCAGATAACCAACCAACACTTCGGCAGCCTAAATATTATGGTCCTGAAAATATAAATTACATTAACCACCACAGTCCATTAAAGAATAATAAGCCATACTATTCAAATGACAAGATCAATGACCCTTTGACGTCCATAAATTACAGTCCGCAATATAATCAATTAAACGACCAAACCCCTGAATGGGCGATAAACAACATTAAAGATGTTTACAAAAACAAAATTGATGAGGAAATCCCAAAAATCCTACCACAACAATACTTTGATGACAACTTTAACGATCCAAAATTAAATATTAGCGAGAAACTCAGCGTTGACTTAGGCCGTTTAACAGTGGCAAAATACGACGATAATAACCGATATTTAATTAAAACTAATAATCCATTGGTCAATTTATTAGTTTGGAAGTCAAAAATCAAAACATTAAATGGAAACTTAGTGATACAAGTCAAAGATTATCCAACAATGAATTTCTTGCCCATTTTAAAGGGACCTGTATGTATTGACGAAGCGAATAGATTAGCTAAAGATATTGTAACAAAAATGTATGGAGATCCACTAATTTTAAAAGGTAAATATTCGGTGAATGAGCCATATGCAGTAATACTAAATGGTGGTTGTAAAAGAAATGTTTTGTGGCCTGCACAATTTAATTCTTTATAAAGTTGTTAATTAAAAAAATATTAATGTAGTATAGTGTTTTATTACCCAATTACACATAAGTTCATGCTTTCATACTTAAAACTCTCTTAACCCTGAGGTCGAATTAAATTAGAAATTAGAACGAAAGAATTATGAATAAATGAAAGCCACTAAACTTATTATGTTAAATTAAATGCGTTTTGTAGTTTCTTTTATGGTAACAAAAGATGAGGCTAAAGGCAAATAAAATCACAATATTCTAAGTACACATTCATAATGGCAGCTACAATGCTCTAGCAATTACTGTCATTTGTCGCAAACCTTACCTTTAACAAAACAAATTAAATATTAAAGCAGCGTTTAACAAAATGGACTGCTAGGGCTGGTACATTAAAAATACTGATATGGAATCGATATGTTTACGAAGCTTTTAGGAAAACACGTTTTCCAACTATAGGTTTTAAGGAGCAGTGTTGGCCCAGTGGCTTCAGCGTGCGACTCTCATCCCTAAGGTCGTAGGTTCGATCCCCGGCTGTGCACCAATGGACTTTCTTTCTATTTAACATTCGCTGAACGGTGAAGGAAAACATCGTGAGGAAACCGACATGTCTTAGACCCGAAAAGTCAACGGCGTGTGTCAGGCACAGGAGGCTGATCTCCTACTTGCCTATTAGATTGAAAAATGATCATGAAACAGATTCAGAAATCTGAGGCCCAGATATAAAAATATTGTAGTGCCACTGATTATTATTATTATAGGTTTTAAGTAATATTAATTACAAATCAATTGGAATCAAAAATTTGTAAAGAAAAAAACTATAAAGTATTTGAATAACGTATGTATAAAATCTGTTTTTTAAATAAACCGCAGATCAAGTTTCCCGTGTAATTATTATTAGTATGTGCGAAGTCATTGCTTTGGAACTCCTTACCTTTTGGTATCAGTTCAGTCTTTGAATTTATTTAAGAATCTTCTTTTAGAGCATTTATCTTCTGCCTCGTAATACTTATATGCCTAGTCTTGCCATAAATACTGAAACAAAGAAAAAAAAATTGTCTATTGTAAATAACATTTATTACTTTTGCATTGTGTTAGTTTAATACATAAATATAAAACGATTTATAATATAAAAAAGCCTATTCGAAGTGGTCTCCATTGGCTGCAATATCCTTTAAACGTTGAGGCCAGTTATTAATAGAAGCTCGCACGCTTTCCATGGGAAAATTCTTCACGGCCAATCATACGGATTGTTTTAGGGACTCCAAATTATAATGGCATTTAGAGCATAAATCATAATACAGCGGATTAAGATCGGGACTAGACGACGGCCAGTCTTCAGCTCTGATGAAGTCCAAAACGTTCGTTTCCAAACAAAACTGCGTAGACCGAGCTGTGTGACCCGGCCCCGAATCTTGCTGGAAGGACCATTCTTGGTTATTGAACATGGTATTGTTAAGGGGCTTCATTACCTTCTCAAGAATGGTATCTTGATACTCTTGTACCCATGTTTTAATACCCTTTTCTGAAAATAAGATCTGTAGAAATAAACGTTCCGCAGCAATAACGAATGGTTAAATAATAGAACCCCCCGCATTCCACACCTTATAATAATAAAATTATGGGTCATTTTATTATTCACAAGTGGCAGCCCTAAAGCAGTGCAGGGTGTAATTTCATTTCAATGAGCGTCAGAACTCACGACAGCACGATAATAATGCATTTATGTAAATAATATACCGCGAAAGGCTTTCATCAAGTGAAGTTTTATTGAAATATATGGGAACTAAATTATATGAGCACTAACTAGTTGGAATAACAGGTAAAAAGTTTGAAAACGTTGGTTTTATGTTTTAAGCGTTATTCATTTAAGTAATATTAAGGTTTGCGATTATCATTTAAAAGTTGCCATAACCTATATGAGTTGTAATATCTAGTACAACCATTTTGAATCTAATATGAAGTGTTCAAAAAAATTACAGGACAGAAATATGGTTGTGACAAAATTCATCTTCAAAGAACACTAGTCCCTGTGATGTAGGTGTGGGGACATCTGGATGGGCAACACTATGGCACTCTCAATCTGGTGGTAAAATGAAACCTGGTAGAGCGAGGATACGTAGGTGGGAACAATCGCAACCTTAGATGTGTAAAAATAAATGCAAGCCCGACATAACTGCCAAATTAATGTATGAGTTAGAAGTGCTAAGTTTAGATTATTTACGCTAACACTTGAAACGTTGACAATTCGATTCTAAGGTCATCGACCTGTGCCTTCCAGGAAAGCCATAAATGTCGTGGAATTAATGAGGTATTCTTAAGTATTTATTAATTTAGAGCAGTGTTGGCCTAGTGGCTTCAGCGTGCGACTCTCATCCCTGAGGTCGTAGGTTCGATCCCCGGCTGTGCACCAATGGACTTTCTTTCTATGTGCGCATTTAACATTTGCTCGAACGGTGAAGGAAAACATCGTGAGGAAACCGGCTTGCCTTACCGAAAACGTCGACAGCGTGTGAGTCACAGGAGGCTGAACACCTACTTGCCTATTAGATTAACAAATGATTATGAAACAGATACAGAAATCTGAGGCCCAGACGTAAAAAGGTTGTAGCGCCACTGATTTATTTTTTATTTGTTTACAATTAAATTTGGTTTATATGCTAAATATTCTAAACCTGTGGAAGGTTTAATGTAAATTTACTTAAGTATAATTTTATATATTACTACTAGTAGACTCGGCCAAGCGTTGCTGTGGCTAAGGTTTTTGTTATATTCCATAGTAGCAAACACCAGTCATGGGGACCACCATGCTTTTTTGGTGGTTATGCTATTAAATTGTAGCTTATGTGAAACGTTGGTACTTTCAACACAGCGCCATCTGTTAGAATTGTGACTATCAGATAATAAACAAATATTTTGCAATAAAATAATATTGCGGGTATAAATTAAGATGTAAGCTATCCTATCTTTTAAGTTGGATCAAACTACACACGGTGTGCAAATTTGATTGGTATCGGTTCCGTAGTTTAGGAGTCCATAGCGGACAAACAACGTGACACGTAATTTATATATATTAAGATAATATAATATTTGAATAAGTCGCAAAACATCTTGGCATATACACGAAATCCACGCGGTAGAAACCTTTGGACAAAAGCTAGTATGCTATAAAATTATTAACTACTGCTTACGAAGGGTAAGCTCACTAATAATATAAACGCTATTCAATAAAATGCCTATTATGTTTTTTAGTTCGCTGATTAATCTAATATATTAAATTCTCGTGTCACTGTGTCTGTAATTGAACTCCTCCGAAATGGCTGGCCCGATTATCGTGAAATTTTGTGTGCATATCGGTTAGGTCTGCGAATCGGACCAAATCTACTTTTCATTCCCCTAAATGGTAAGGGTGGCCCCTCTATTTTTTTATGATACAGCATACATTCATACAACCATTAATTTTTACCCCCCTACTATCAACCCCTATTTTTTATTTGTTAATTAAAAACTTATGACTCAGAGGTTTATATAAAGAAAAAATCACGAAAAAATCTAAAAAGCTTTCATTCCGGAAAACCGAACAGTCTCTGGGGTAGCATAGCAAAATGTTCCATGTTGGTACGTACTAAAGAGGTAGGCTAAAAATCACATTAAGAAGAAACGAATTTCGCGGGTGCAGCTAGTTTTACTATAAGCATGTGTTATTCACATCTTCCACGAGTAAAACGAGGCAAATAAACCTAATTTAATTGGACAATCCAACTTATAAAAGAGAGTCCTGAGCTAGCCCCCGAAAGCAGTGGGAAATTCATTTTGCCAAATGAATTCCAGTCAAGTCACCCGAAAATTGCGGAAATGTTCTAAATTGGCAACACTGTGCCTTGTTATTTGCGCAGTTGCAGTGTGGTCAGTTGAAATTGCGTTATTCACGCCTTAATATAGTGCCATTTTACTATTTCAATATCTTGTGAATAAATTCGATGGAATAGGTTCTATTGACAAGGTGTTGGGAAAGTCCTATTCAGAGTAAAAAATATAAGATATTCTATTGTAGAAAATATTTATAAGAGGTATAGAGAGAGTTAAAGTCTAGTGGCTTCAGCGTGCGACTCTCATTCCGTCGAGGTCGTAGGTTCGATCCCCGGCTGTGCTCCAATGTACTTTCTATGTGCGCATTTAACATTTAACATGGATAGAACGGTGAACCGAAAACGTCGACGGCGTGTCAGGCACAGGAGGCTGATCACCATCATAAAACAGATTGTACAGACCAAAGATTGTAGGTGATGCTACAGAAGAAACGATTTCAAAATAAGTTTTATTTAAATTTCATCGAATTACATGATTTTCATTTAGCAATGTAAAATGATCTTTTTAATTTTGTAAGTAATAAATGTTGAAGTGAATTTAGGTCGAATAGAAACCGCTTAGATTACCGGTTTTTTTTTCAATAGATTTTTCATATCTTTATATAAAAGAAAAACATATAAACAGGTATATACGAATACCGAAAAAATACTGTCGAACCACAACAGTGATTTTTACGTTATACGAATAATTAAAAAACACATTACTCTATATTATTATAAGTAATAATTTATTTTTAATATAAAATTTTTGACACTATAATATTTATAGTGCGCAGATTACTTCCTGAAATATCGTAAAAGGCCGATTCAAATGTACAATTAAACTAGCATTATTTATACATTAAACAGAATATACCAACACTGTCCCTAAGGAATATTCCCTCGCTCGAACCCTCAAAGACAATTTTTTTACCCAAAATTGAATTTAGGTAATGGTCGATGTCCTTAGAGGCCCATTAGGGTATCGTCTGATCGAAATTTATTGCTAGAAATACAAATTACATACGCTTAATTTCCCAGAACATTTTTTTGTATAACTTATATTTTATATAGAGCTGTGTTGGCGTAGTGGCTTCAACGTGCGACTCTCATACCTGAAGGAAAACATCATGAGGAAACCGACATGTCTTAGACTCAAAAAGTCGACGGCGTGT